TATAACAGCGGAGCTACGGGCTACGGGCGGTTGAAGGCTGCCTATCACACCCACGCGGCCCAGCGCGTGCTCAACGTGCGCCGCTGAGGCCAGCGATTTCCCGGAATCCTTATTTCCGATTCCGAAATACTCGACGCGGTTATACCAAGAAATCTCGATGAGCGTTATTCTGGGGCAATGCTGTGTAAAACCCGACACACGTAGCTTTCTAGCGAGGTGCCTCTGCCGTTACAAATAATCAGAATGCGTGAAAGAAGTCGCTGACCCTCTATTACGAAATTATTCCTTTGTTTTGAAAACGGATGATTCGTCGGAATCTAATATATCGATTATAAAATAATTTATCATTACATAACTTATTTCAGCGTCTTCTATAATTTCTTGTTTTCTTATACCGGAGATAAGATTATTTATGCGTGGTAGAGCCATGCTGCAGCACGAATGGATCGGCACAACTAGGGAATACCACGCTCTTACAGAATATCAGCGTAAAATAGCAGCATAACTCTGTACTGTACTTTTTCGACAAAAATCAACAGAATCGCTTAAAAACATCGGAGAAATTGCATTGGTAATTTTTATACATTTAAAAATACAGCCAAAAAGAGAATCTCAGCTTTTTGAAACTAGTTAAATATGTGTAAAATAAAAAAATGTTATGTTTTGTATATCAACTGCACACAGACTAAAACGAAGTGATTATATTATACTCTTTGACTATGAGTATGACAATAAAATCATCACGTTTTAGGTGTTAGGTGAGCCATCGTTCACACCTAAAACGTGGTGATTAAATACTCTTTGATTATCTTTCACAGACACCGAAGTTTTCAAGGAATCACGATTGATTTGTGAACACTGCTCTAAATAAATAAGCACACAGTAAGATTTTAAATTTCATTTATTATTGACATACCATCATACATCGTAACATTTAAAATTCAATCGTACAACAAACGTATGTATACAGGACGATAACTATCATGATTAAACAATTAAAATCGGCATCTCGTAAATTTATTTACAGCTTTAAAACGTCAAGAAGGATTAGTGCCGCGCGACTTACATAGTTTTATTACAAAACATGGTTTATGAATAGTCTCGAGTTTAAACTTTGGTTTTAGAATAATCCCTGCTAACTAAAGGAGCCGTTTAGACGCGATGTTACAGTCTTCACGAAATTTGAAATTTGCTGTCAAATTTCATACATTTCATTTTAGTTCTCATATTTTCGCGGAACTTCTTTGGTGAAACAGAACTTAATTCAAACCTGAGACTAAAAATATAAACTACTTTTAGTAATAAGGCCGACAATGTTCGTGTGTAGGTCCAACTATAAAACTTTGGGAATTCATTTACACATTAGCTGTACAAATAATTTAATTTAAATAGTACATTTTTATCAATACACGGTCGCTAATCCACTAATCCATCTTAAATTATCATGACTATATATGCGTTTTACTTTCATACGCGTTTAAAAAATATTAACACCTAAAAAAATGCACGGAGTGTATAAAAAACAACACTGTTACGTAGATCATTTAAACCAATCAGTCAAAAACTTAATATATATATAAGGCAAGTGTTATTTACTAAATATATTATAGTTACGTAGGCTAAGGGTTTATTTTTATACAATAAAACATTAATATTGCTAAAGTATATACATAATTTCGTTAACAAATTCATTAATAGTTGTAAATTTTTAAGCCAATTCTGTAATTATCTTAAAATTAATCTTAAAGCTACTCGGATTTAAATTAATTCTTACGCTAAAATTGGTGCTAAGTTTAAACAGCTGCTAGGACAATGGCATAACGTATAAACAAACACGCGGACTACCGAAATGCATTTATAATCTGTGAAACGACTGTACAATACATTTTATTTAGAAAAAGCCACTTTCTCACGGCAAAAGCTGATTCCGGCGTATTCCATGCATTATTTATAAGCAGTGCGTATGAGGAGGATTATGTCAAGCGGTCATTAATCAATCCCCGCATTTATTATACGAATCTCTCAGCTTTCAACGATGCACGGACTTCTTGACTTTCAATGCGGCAGGTACTAAACATAAAGGAGATATTAACTTGTACACCAATCTAGATCTACTGAGGTCTGATTCATGCTGCATAGGCAAGAACCGGCTTCTAATAACTATTGATTGACGTATATTTGCACTAAGGTGCTCCGTCTGTGTCTCAGGCCTCAATCAGAACATGATAATTCATTAAAACTGTACATAGCAGTCAACAAACACTTCCAAAATTTCATACAATTCTATGGAAACTAAATAACAATATTGAATAACCCTTGTATATATCAAAAACTGTTATGTGTTGTTTTACGCTGTATATAAAACACACCAAGAGCAACAATTTAGTATTCAAGCGCCAATCGAGTAGCCGGGTTATTCCGGACGATTAGTAAGCTGAATTTAATCCACGTAGAGTACAGCAGAGCTCGGTGCATACAGCTAGTTCGTCGGAACCTAACTGTCGAGTCACTCAAGCCCCGCCGGTTGGCATACAAATGTGGTTAACACGAAATAAAAAGGCACCGCCGAAAATTTACCTAATGCTCTCATTTTAAAGTAAAACTGCGTCTTTTACGACACGCGCGATAATAAAACAGCTGTCAGGAAATGGAAAATGAATGCAGCTATTTTGGTTGCAGCACCAATGGGTCCGCTCGACTGGGGTGCGGCCACGTTCTCGCCATAATACCAGCGTAAAATAGCAGCTTAATGCTGCTGCGTTTTTTATACCATTTTTACTGGAAACGAGGCATTCCACCTTAGTCCTCAGGGGTGACAACGCATCTGCATGTTGATTCGTAATCGAGGATAGATGTAGATGTCTATGGGCCACAGCAACCACTTAACATTACACGGTGGACTGTGCTCGTTTGTCACCCTTCTCCTTAAAAAAAAAAAGAAAAATAAGACTTCTTTAAATCTTTGATACGAAACTATACAGATTATTCCATGAAATTTATTATATATAATAATATAATATAGAAAAATTAATAAGACAATTCAATCAAATAAATGTTATCACACGAAAGGCGATCCCTTTAATCAGTTTTACATGCACTCGGTAGATGAAGTACGGAGTTTAAACAAAAGTGAATTTAACTAAACATTTCTGAAGTCTTTATCTTAAGAACCTGTCTTAAACGGAAAACTAATTCAAGGCAATAACTTTGATTAATTGTCTTACCTCTAATTAATGTTTGGTCCAGCGAAATACGTCGCTGTTGGTTGTTAATGGTCTGCCTGGGTAGAAGTTTTTAAAATGAAAATAAATAGCTTTTATTAATTGTATAAAAATTTAAAGCACATGTCCGAAAGAACCGTTGCTCGATGTCTGTATATTTCAACTTATCAGCTAGACTTGGGTATTTAAATAATGCCGCGATAAAAGCTCTGAGACAAATGAAAATATTATGTACCGTGTACTAAAGCATCAGTACAACAAGAGCGATAAAATTTCCAAAAGTTCACAACAATCAATTAAGCTTCATCCGTTACTATTATAACCTGACGAATAAACTATAATTTTCCATTTTAGCTCGCAGCTAAAGACTAAAAAACGTTTAAAATATTTCAAATAAGCCTAACGTTATTTTAGCACCTCTTAAAATAGGCACGCGCATCACATCGTGTTCTTACCAATTCCCTTACATAATTATATTCAGATCTGCACCATTTACTACAATTATTTAATATAAAACAATTACACATATTAGGTATATAAAATAAAAAGCATGTCCTTTATGATACTTCTAATTTTAACGTTACGGCTCAATTGTATAACATGTTTATTCACAAATATGTAAAGTATTTGGATTATCTATTTTCTAAACTGCATCTTAAATAAATCGTCCATATTATAATCAAATTTGAAACGTGTAAATTTCATTTCAACTTAGACAAAAATTCAAAGAAAATTTAAAACTGTATTTTTTAAACCATAAAATCATCAATTTTAAGCATTTTACCTGTTTCAACTCAATTGTAAGCCCAACACATCTTCAAAGCGGAAGAATATTCAGTCAAAATTACTTCGTTCAAAAACCAACTCTAGCCCTCCGAAACATGGGGTTCCGGGTGGAACTTCTCTGGGCGATTACAATATTATTTTCTTTTCTCAATTCTGGAAATGCTAATCGGCCGAACCAGTTGATAGTTCGCGCAGAAGGCTCGCGCCCGCGCGCACCTTCTCAGAAACGAACGCGAGACGGCTAGTGAGAAATGTGATTATCGTAATAACCTCCCGGAACGAGAGAGCCCTTTCCGATCTACGTTCGTAAATAGAAATTTGTACGAACGTAAACAGATGCTGCCAACATTATAATTCTAATTATAGAAGTGGTAATCTAGCAAGTAATGCAGATGTATCATAATAGTTCTAAACAAATCGACAAAAATATACTAGCCGAAACCAAAGACGTATAAAAAAGGAAGGCCGTACTATTAAATTCCAACTATTGGTAGTTAGACAAACTTGTTTAATTCCCAATACTTGTCATTTTATTGATATGAAGGAGCGGATTTCAAAACTTTAAAAACCTGTCCATTAATCGAAAAATAATCTATGAATAAATATAATAATCGCCTTCTGATCATATTTATTGTTATAATGGAGCTAGCGGAGTTACGAGACCAGAGGGTAGCGAGGCACCATCGATAATAAGCGATGTTACAATGCTTTCCGAGAAGGTGCAGCTATTAAGTTGACCAAACCACATTCGAACCGGTCACACAAATATTACATAAATATCGACACACGGCCTGCATTTAGACGTGGCGTTAATTAATACAGATATAATTAATTAATAACAGGAAAATGCGGCGACCATAAAACTTACAGGTAATAAACTAAATTTTTCTGTTTCTGTATACTAAATTTTTATGTTTACACTCAGTAAAACTTGTGTATATTAAAGAATAACGGTAACAACTTTTTTAATAGTATTATAAGTGGGTTATTTTTTCACTCCCATTCCTCATCGCTCGAGGATCGTTGCGGCGAAGACTGGTCGCCCGGCTCGGGGATGATATTGGCCAGGGTTTGAAGTATTGAACCACCGCCGGTACGCTCTGCACCTGATATTCCTCGGCGGCGCATAGATAGCTTTGCGTGAAGATCCGCCATTAGATCACCGCCGACTGGTGCTTTCGTGCCCTGTTGAAAATTAATAAGTTAAACGCAAGTTACAAAATATGCAATAGGTACTGAGCGAAAAATATTTAAAATCTCTTAACTCGCTGTAACTAATCATGTAGTGAGTACTTAAAAATATTTGTTTGAAAGACGATAAATAGATAGATAGTGGAATCTTTAAGTGTGCGTCGCTCCTAAAAGAAACTTTCGTGCGACAAGTATTTAGGATAGTGTATATATTTATTATTGTATTTATTATTATTAGTGTATTTATTTAGTGTGTATATTTAGGATAGTGTAATTAATTACGCAGAAAGAAGCAAATTAAGTTCTAACAATATTAATATAATGGATTTCCGAAAAGTAACGCCTGATCCTTTAATGATTTGGCTAGTTTAACTAATTAAGCTTAACCGGCGTCTAACAAAATGAAATAGTCTCAATTATTATATTTTATAATTTTTTGAGTTATCTTTTTGATCGTCTTCAAAAAAAAATTAAAATTCTAATTTGGTATCTTCCAACCTTTCTATTTCAATAGATGGTATAATATGGTACAAAAATTAAATTACTTTTAGACAGTGTTTTGATTATTTCTCGAGCTTGTTGTTGTTTGTTACTAAGTCCACCCAAAAGGGTAAAAACATTAAATTTGTAATAAAAAAAATCTGTCAGTCGTAGGACTGCACGTCAGAAGCGAAAACTTCTTAGCTTCAAAAACTTATAAACATTATTTTTGGGTTGTTAAGAAACATTTCTAAGAAGTTTTTTTTTTAATAGAAATTATTTTTATCAACGTATTATTAACGTAATAAAATTTTCATTTACTGCGTTGTATAAACTAAAAATTAATGATTATTATCTATATATTACAAACAAATTATTTCTTATATTTACGCGAACATTACTCATTAATTAAAAATACTTTTACGGATTTCATCGTGTTTAATTTTTAAATATTTTTAATTCCCGACGTTTCGGGTGCTTTCCAGCACCCATGGTCACGGGGGACTAAGATGACTGACGTCCCGATGTATGTATTTAGTAGATTTGGTGGAGTTTTGGATAGCGGTCAAAAGTGAGTGATGGTATTCAATTCGCAGTTAGAATCCAAATATAATAAACACTAGAAGTCCGAAATCCGAACAGAGAAATAGAAAGTCGTATTCATTTTGCAATATCCTATTTATGTGAAGCTATATTCTCAGCTGTAGGTGCAATAAAGAACGAATCTCGAAAACGAATGCGATGTAACAAATGAGAGTAGCAGTATTAAGGCTAATCCCGCAATTTAAAAAATGTCTAAGTATCAGCAAGTTCACACGTCGCATTAATTAACTTGTGATTCTAGTTATCACTTTTTGTATTTTAATTTTTCTCTATCAATTATAGTACATTTGTCTTTTGAAAGTTCACCGTGTAGTCCACTAGTTCATATTAGGCGGGTGTCGTAAGAGGCTGGGAAACAAATGGATGGGAAAGCCAGGAGATGAGCAGTAGCATCTTCATGCTAAATAAAATACAACAAGCGTGAAACTATGGCAAATAAACCTCCCCCTATAAGACAGTATATAAGGGAGTCGTATGTTCACTTTTGATACGACTGTAATGATTGCATGGATGAATGAATCCCTTATATGAGTTGTTTTTCAGAAGTTTCTATGTCTTAATTAGTGTATTTCACACATATTTTGACAAGGGCTGTCGTTACAAAATACCTTGTCTAAATCCTAAAGGTTAGGTATTATTTTATAAATTAATTTAAAAAAAACCTGTATGAAGTTTAAGTTTCATAAAGGTATGTATTAAGGGCTGTCTAGGGAAATTAAGTTATTAATATAAATGATTCTACAAAACCTATGGGAAATTTAACTTTCACAAAAGTATGTATGAATGATCTGTATAAAAACTTATCATAAAAGGCGTGAAATAGTTCAAGGATAACGTGGCTTTTCAATCTACGCATTACTTATTACTCGCTCGGAGTTTCGTTAAAAGTTAGTGGTTAAAAGTTAAAAAAATACATGTATCTTCCTAAATTTCTCAGTAGTACGGATGCACAGATGGAAATAGAAGTTATCGAGTAACGTACGCAGAAACGGCCAAAGTGCGTCGCGTTATCTATTAAATATAACGAAGTTCAATGGCATATACACACGTCAGCAATAAACAGGATAAGAGCCGCGGATCGTAATTAAATTATTATTTTACTATAATATATAACTCCGACGGTCTGTTTACAATATTTAGAGGTAATTAGAAACTTTTAGGGATGCGTTGTCAGAAACAAAAGTTTGTTTCCTTTCGTTGTCCTAATTTTAATTGACTTTGATAACAAATTAAAAGTCTATATTTTTCGATATAAGTTTCAATTATAATATAAGACGTTTAAAATATTTTTAGTGAATTATTTTTAAAATATTTCCAGCAATATGTATTAATGTCATTACAGTTCCGAGTGTATAAAATAAATGTCGCTGTGATGAAAACGAAGCAATATAAAGTGTGACTAACATGAAAGTTAAAACAATTTGCTACTTTACCAGTTACCGAGAATATAGAATTTTCCTTGAAAATTCCTTTATTATTACAAGATTATTTTTCTTACAAGATTTTGCTTAAATGCGATGACGAAGGACTTAATCTAACAAGTGGTAAAATTAAAAATTTTGTACAACCGACTTATACAATACGACCGAATCAATATATGCGAAGTCAATTAAATACGCATTATGAAAGATAACTCAAAAACTACTGGTTTGGTTGGTTGTGTGGTTATATATATATATATATATATATATATATATATATATATATATATATATACCACACAAGAGGCATCAGCTTTCAGATAGAAAAAGAATCATCAAAATCGGTTCACCAAGAGAAAAGTTATGAGGTAACACACAAAAAAACACTCGAGTTGAATACCTCCTCCTTTTTGAACTCGGTAAAAATTCCATGATGTCGCAAGTGAAACATCGCAGATTCTTAACATTTTTAATTGCATAATATTTTTACTACATTTTATTAATTTAAGAATATTTGATATATATTTTACGTTTACGTTTAATGGCTTAATACTTTCTCTGACCGGTTTTCAGACACAATAGTAAGACAATGACCTCTATGTAGTGCACGGGATAGCGAAAAGTAAAGTAAAGTAAAGTTACAGGCTATATACGTCCCACTGCTGGGCACAGGCCTCCTCTCATTTCTGAGAGGGTTTTAGGGCAAGGAATAACCCGCCACGCTGCCCCAATGCGTGTTGGCGAACTTCACATGTCTTCGAAATATTTTTTTTCTTATTTCTCAGACATGCAGGTTTCCTCACGATGTTTTCCTTCACTGCCGAGCATGTGGTAAATCAGCACTTAAAATTGCCATTAACAATTTCATTGGTGCCGGCGGGGATCGAACCCGGTTTGCTCGCGTATTGTGAAATTTACAGCGAGCGCTAACCATCTGAGCTACCACGGCTCAGATGGTTAGCGCTCTTTAGTCAGATGGATAGCGAAAGGGTTAACTAAAATATTATTATTGTTTTACATTAAACAGGACTAATAAATTAATAATTAATAGTTCTTAAAATTTTAAATTAAAAGTAATAAACACATCGTATTGTAATAAGTATAATCAGAGGGTAAAAATAAATAAATAGACGTGAGAAAATAAATTTCAAACGCCATTCAAATAAATGTATGCAATGTTGAAATTACATTTTATTATTTATGCATCACACCTGATGGTAAGTGCCTACTGCCGCCCGTGAACAACTGGGGAATTGCAGGTGATTTATCGGCCTTTTAAAACTCTAGTAGAGCAGGCTGGTGCCGGTGGTAAACGATACCAGAAAGTAGTCGTGCGGTAGTTGATTTCACAAGGCAAATACATTGATATAATAAATATAGCACATGTTTCATCGCCGTCGGACACTTAGTTTTAGGGGACATAACAATAAAAGCCTCATTGTTATAAAAAGAGAATCACCAAAAACCCGGTGAATGAAGAAAAAGTTTTATGAATACGTAGCGTTTAAGCGGCAACAATTTAAAGAATAAATTTACATATTGTAAGTAATTCGTTTATTCGAATCACGACTTGATAAAACGGAATTTGTGTCATTTCAATAGACCGCAGAACATGGTCGTTATTAAGTACTTTATCATAAGAAACATAATCGTTTAACTGTTCAGTGTATTGCTGTCTCGCTTTAGCGCACTAACAGAATCTCCATAACAGGATAACCTCCAATTGAATAATTTAAGTAATAAACATTTGGGAGCGAGCCTGCTCTTCCTTTTTAGACTCGCGCGGTATCTCAACGAGCAACTACCGAGAAGTGAACGCGGGGAAAAAATTGCGAGAGCAAAAGGCATTCTACGTAGTGCAAAATGTAAATACTTAAGATGGCCAAGATCATTCCGGTGTCGTGCGAGCGTTTTGTTTGCCGAGGCGAAACTTGGGCCATTTTTGATTAAGTATACCTTACGCTTCACTCATCGGTCAAATATAATATTTACTTTATTTAATATAAAGTTCTTCACACACATTTTATAACAATTATGATACCCACTATAATAAGTGGGCAAGTGCTGATTTAGCATTACCGTTACAGTCTATTAAAGGCCACTGCTGAACCTAGGTCTCTCCCATAGATTGCCTCATAGGCTATATTATTGGGGTATTATTAGTATTATTGGGGGTATATTTGTCATAGTATATTTGGCAATTGGTTAGACACCCACAGTTTATTTTTTATTTTTAGTCGTTTTTAGGAAGATGCTGCTGCCCATCTCCCGACTTGTTTCTCTCTGTCACTTCTTACGACACCCACGGGATGATATGGGATAGCAGATACTCTTACACCGCCAGTACAAGGTACACTCTACACTCTTGATATAAATGTCTCTTGATAATTGTTAAGATCCGTGGCTCAGGTGCTTATAAGCTCGCTGTGAATTTCATAATAGGCGGACTACTCTAGTTCGATCCTCACCTGTACAACTGAAATGGTTCAT